TATAGAGCGGGGTTGACGACACGCAATCCAAAACAATAAGCAGCCGAAGGTTTTCAGTCAAAAATATGTAATTTATTAACAAAAAAGTATTGACTTAAATAGTCTCAAAATAACAAATCTTTAAACAATATTTCGGCGGTATGCTTTCCTATATAAACTAAACTATACTTTGTTTGCAGTCCAATTTGCAACACTAATTTCTGTCGGCAATTTGCGGTCGAAAAACTGTTCCGCTCCCCGTCTCATCAGAGCACCCCGGCTGTCCTCAATCACCTCACTTAAATACACACCGGAAGGTACACGGAAACAGATCATATTTACGATATAAAATAATCAAAACATATTCACCACGGCAACACAAATCACCCCTCCATCACTAAATCATTTATCAAATTATGACTCGAAATAATAACCCTGACTTCATTGTGACTCATAAAACTTATTTTTTCTTTTTCAGAGCTCACACACGAGTTTCTTCAGATCCTTGAAAAGACGCCCAGCAAACTGAAGAGGATACGAAACTGGAGGGTGTGTCATTAATACTTAACTTAACACCATTTGACGGTTTGGAGTATCAGTATCGGTATCTCATGTTGAAGTCTTTGTTTTTTTACAGGCTATTCAAGCAGCTAAGAAGCCAAAGTCGGATGGCTCTTCTGTGGACAGTGTGTACCAGGGGACGTCCTTAGATGGCCTTCCCGGGGTCAGCAACTCCTTCTTCCCCTCCACTTCCTCAGACTCTTCAGACATGCCGTCCCTCAACAACATCGCAGCCTCCTACGCCTCCTACCAGCCGCTGAGCGACGAGTCAAAGAGCTGCGGATACGACAACTTCCCCGAGCCGGACTTCACGCTGGTGAAACACGAACACAAAGCTGCCGGCGGCTCCAGCAGCAAACAGCAGCCGCTCAATGCAAACGCCGCCACTTTTTCACGGCCGCAGAAAGTGTTGACTCTGGAAAAGTACCGAGAGAAACACGCGGCGACGGACGTGACCTCGCAGAACGGCGTAAAGGACGAGTCGAACACAGACATGTACATACCTCCCCAAACCTCCTCGCACCACCACAAGAAACGCTCCCAGCAGGCGGGGCAGTCGGGCGACGGCAGGAGAGAGAAGAGCAGCTCGAAAAAGGCTCGGCTGCCTCACTCTTTAGCGGAAAACGGCTCGGCGACGGGCGAAGAGCTCAAGATGAGAATCAAAGTTTCGTCTGAGCGTCACGGCGGCTCGGAGCCAGGCGGTAAAGACAAGCACAAAGAGCATCACCGCCACTCGAAACACGGCCACTCGCATCCTTACGCCCTCAGTGGGAACGCCCGGGGGACAATAGACAGCGCTTCGTTATCGATAAGAGCTCCAGACGGGGCCTCCTCGTCCTCCCGAAAAAGACCTCACTCTGAAGCAGGAAACCACCACCACCATTCGTCCAAGAGCCGGAGCTCCAAAGCAGGTTCGGCCCATTTCTCGTCCGAAGGAGGCCAGAGGATGATGGAGCATCACGGCCACGACGGCACCAACGGCATGCTGACCACCAACGGCCAACACACCGACTACAAAGACACTTTCGACATGCTGGACTCTTTACTAAGTGCCCAAGGAATGAACTTGTAACCCTCGGAGAGTCCACAGTCTAGAATAAGGTATTACCATGTTTAATAGAAATTTTAAAGAATGAATTTATTTGTCTTAAGTTATCTGCATCGCCCTCACTGATGATTCTCTGTCAGAAAAAAAACCATATGCATAGAGCTGTGTACTAGCTTGCAAAAAAAAAATAGTTTTAAAGAATTACGGCTGAAATTAATGAGATTTTAAACATTCTTTTAACGCGAACTGACATTATGATTTTTATCGTGCATGTTTTTAAGTCACACAAGGGAAGCTAGTGTTCGCAGCCATCGTGACAGTTTACAAACGGTCCTTTTCCTTTTCTTTTTTGTTCTCCGTACGTTGAAGACATTTTGTTCCACTGAAAATCTCAGGTCTTGAACTTTTTTGATATAAGAGCGAATCTTCCTCTGTTTGGGTTTGTTACCTGTATCTGTGGAGATGTATCACCTCGTCCGTTTGCTGACGACGACGACGGCACCTCGTGTGTCTGTCTTAGGGAAAACATGGTCTGCTTACTTTTCAAAGAGTGCATCAATAGCTCAACAAAAAAAAACGTCTATTTGCTGTTTATCGGGACTCCTAAGGCCGCACCTGAACTTAATGTGCAGACTCATTATAGAGCCACAAATGAAGTTTACGTTACATCTGCTGTGAAAGTGCATTTAAGATATATAGGCTAAAAATTACAAAAAGGGCCTTGTGATTGTACATTGTCAATCGCTATACAGTATGATAAATGTTATTAACTACCAGAAAATCTCTAAAATAAGAATGTGTAAATAGGACTGTAGTTAATCAGTCAGTCAGTCCAGACCTTCCTCATTCAGTGTATCATCTAAAGCAGACTCTGTATTGATGAACATATCCTCGATTTGTGTATTGGGAGCCCAAATAAAGGTGTAAAAGTGACTTCTGTGTCAAAAACATGGATTCATTCTGTTGATTGTGTTTGTTTGGGGAGGGCAAACTTTTAATGTCATGATACAAACAACAACACACTGACTTACATACTCAATACTGTGGGCAACCTCCACAGGAGCAATTTGAGGTGAAGTGTCTCAGGGACACAACGACATGCTGACTGCAGTGGGGTTTGAACCTGTGACACACACAATCCACTGCGCCACACACCGCCTATAGACAGCAGGATTTGTTTTTTATTGCTTTTATATATTTCATCTCGGTTTAAAGTTATAAGGCTGCAAATGAGGGTTAATTGAATGATCTAATGACCCACAGATTATACTCAATGAATGGATTAAGATCAAATAAATCTGTAAAATGTCTTAAAAACTCTTAGATATTCAGTGCACCTTGCTACAAGACTGAGATAAACAAAAACATATCTACATTTGAGAAGCTGGAACCAATAACCTAATTTTATTTGTATTCTTATTAAAAGCGCCAACATTGTTGCTGACCTGTTTTCAGACGTTATATAGCTTTAAGACAACACTCGATGTCTACATACTAGCTTTCCCCAGGGCTTTAAACTACAACCTGTTGTCTTCCTCTAAGATCACAATGTCAAAAAATAAATAAAACCTGAGATGACAACTGAGCTTTTTCCAATGCATACCGTGTTCAGAGGAAGTCGTGTAAAGCTCCGAAAAGCTAGTTAAAGGGCCCATGTTATGCTTTTCCGTTACCCGTCCCCCTGTCTATGCTAACCCAGAACGCCTCGTTGGACATTTCTATTTCTCCATTGTTTGCTTCCTGGGTTCTGTGACGTGTGAACACCCAGATCAACAACAAATGACCGGATTGGCTCAAATGGACCAATCCTTGGAGCTCCTCCCACACCAGGACCCCTTGGCTAACTAACAGGGAGTCCCATTGACTTGCATAGAGCTCCCTGGTTGGTAATAGACGAGTTGGGATGGTGGAGAAA